CCCCCTAGCGCTGCGGATAATGCGAGAGGTGTCCATTTCAATGCAAGTTCCACTAGCTCAGGTGCAATTTGAAAGCGAAGAGGATATGGCGAAGGTGGTATCTGAAGACATTGATACGTATTATGGAGGTATGGATTGGGATTAAGAAGGAATACGTCTTTCCAATTCGTGGATCCAATATACATAATCTGGTTTAATGTAAACAAATCTAGATGATTAAATATTTTATTTCCTAAGGAAAATAACAGTGAGCTAAATTAATTTCTTTTATCAAACTCAACTTCCAGTGAAAACAATTACATTGAATTCTCTACATATCAAATTTATTATATCATTCAGTTTATTTTAAGGCAAATTTTCTATATCCGTCACGCTTCTGAACTTATTGTTTGTTGTTCTAAAATGACACTACTGCAATCTTCAGGACCTTGTCATGCCATATGTCTTTCAAAGCTATGTATTTCAGGTTTTTTACGCAAATTACGAATTTATGTTATGGGAATCACTCAGTGATGATAATCTAAACATTTCAAGCAAATATATATATATTGGGCCAGGGTCTGTACTTTTATCTACTTTATTTGAGATGCCATTTGTCGTGACGGTCACAAATTTTTGAAATTACTAAACTTTCTGAAATTACTAAAACACCATCACAAACACTAAAAGCTATATACCCACAGTTACCATATATTTTATTAAATATTGGTTCACTTAAGGATAATATTAATTAATAATTAACTAAAAAATGTTTATTTAAAGAAATTTGTGGTCAGCTTATTTAGTTAGCTGAAATAATATTTAACAATACGAAATAACTGAGCACGGCAAAATGACATTGTTTTGTTTGTTTTTCGCCCACAGCCGTCGTGTTTGACTTCCCAGCTAATGACACTGTATTGCCGCTTCATACGCCATACAAAATACGATTATCATCTGAATTATTATTCTTCGGTACCTGGGCCACAACTTTAACGTATCCTTACTACACATTGAATATACCCGTAGAATACCAGTAAGTATGGACAAGTAACATTGTCTCGATCACAACATTGGAATCGACACCGTTTTACCTGAACATTCGGTCCTTCCAGTAGTTATTAGATTAAAAATGACATCACAGCCTGCTGCTACTTAATAGTCAATAACAGTGTGTTTATCTCTATCGTATTTTCAGCTCCTACGACGAACGTTTCATGGAACTTCAATTTGCATTAGATCATACTTTTATTATGTTCCAAAGTGAAGCGTACAATTCGAGTCATCTTATGAACGGCATTCGACGAGAGGTGCAGGTATGCATTCTAACTAGCCCTGGACCCGCGGCGTTGGAATAGTGACGATATTCATGCAACTGAATTCGGCTGCTCACCGCCGTGGATCCTGCTATAGCGAAATGGAGTGGACATAATGTGTGGGCTACGCATGCGCACCAGCTATAACCTAACCGTGATCTCTCATTAATTGGGATTTTTAAAGATAAAACAACTCTTTTTTGTCTCTTTATTCTAAAACCTCAATTTGCTGCAGTCATCCCATTTTGCTATAGCATAATACGTGGCGGTGTTCGAATGGGACAGCCGACGACCGAATATAAACACCGTGTGACGGTCTACGCTTATAACGTCGTGGGTCCAGGGCCAAGTATAATAATAATAATATTGCATTATTGTCATAATGGGTGGTTCATTGCAAACTGAAAACTAAATTATGACGCACGTAATAATCAACTGTTAAATGGGCGTTCATAATTCGTTATTATTTAGATGTGATGTGTTATCAGTTTATGATAATTCGACATCCAGGCTGTACGCTTGAACATTTAGACCAGAACTTCATCTGTGATCGCTATTGCCACACTAACGTATAGTATATTTGCAATATGAAAGCTCTGCGTCCATATTATAAACATTTGCCAAAAATACTTTTCAATTTTTCAGCGACTTTCGTTTTAGATTGACCAAGATGCGACGGAAAGTATGAGCAAGGATGTTGACTAGCTTGGGGGGGGGGGGGTAATTTGCTAGGACAATGATTATAATTTATTTTGATGAGTTATGTTATGAAAGTCCTGCTACAATGTTTATTCGATTAATTTAACTACTCTTACACAGAGATTTCCGTACCCGGAATGGAGAATTGAGACGTTTATCGTAACCATGCGATTCTTGATGACTATCATTCTGGTATTGGCGCTGATTTATTCCGCTGCCAGCATCGTTAAGGTTTGTAGTAGTGTCCCGACGATCACGTGATATATTCACATTCGACTCGTGTTTCGTATTCATAGGAATGAGGCAGTCATATTTGTCTCTTATTTGTTACGTGAGAATTGTTAGACCACATTTTCAAAGTGAAAATTTGTTTAACCAATTACTATTATACGCATATGTACTGAGTGTAGCATTTGTACTATTAAAATGGAACCCGTGTTCATTGTAAATAATTGATCAAATTTACTTTTTGTACTTTTTTGAATTTACATACAACCCTGTTAAAGTGTTCTTTAGAACGCATTAAGAAATTAGTCCACCCCTAATGAGGAAATGTCATAATGTATGCATTTGACTAATTTGCATAATTAACGAGGTCATTACACGAGTCTACATATAACTACAAAGGTTTCACTTCACATTAATTGCTGTGTGCAAAACATATGCAGTACATACTAGTATGTCATAGAATAACACGTTTACTGTCAGCATGTTTTTAAAGAATTGATTCTTGTCTCGCTTTCAGGAACTTGTTATTGAGAAAGAGAGTAGACTAAAGGAAAGTATGAAAATGATGGGGTTGTCTAATTGGTTGCACTGGACGGCATGGTTCGTTAAATGTTTCCTCTTCTTAATGATCTCAGGGTTTGCCATGTCGATTCTTATCAAGGTTAGTGTCTGTTATAAATCACTGTACCAAATTTCCAAAGAATACACGAGCACTATGTGGGGTCAATGCACTCTGTCACATGATTGAACCAAAACAGGCGAACAAAATTCATTTTGAATCAACAATATTTAATGTTATCACACATTTGGCATATGTATTCAGTCATTTTATCTGGAAAATTATATATCAACGCAAGTCGTTTGCGCGCGTAACTTCTACGCTTAAAGCGAGAGAGTCGTCACGTGTGCAAACACATCTACCCAAGAGCCTTTTCGTGTAAGCATGCATTTTCACTTAGGACTCAATTCCCGCGCACGCGCAAGCGACGACCCCCTCCGTTTTAAATACTAGTATATTGCAAACATGTTGGACGTGGTAAACAAAATCAATTTTTACTCTCAGGCAACCTGCAATATAGTAATCTCAATAAAGATTCAATAATATGTCTGTTTATGTTTTATTTGTCTTGATAGGCGGGACAAGTGTTCCGGCATAGTGACTTTCTGTGTATTTTCATATTCTTGATGTTGTGGATTATCGCTGGTATCATGTGGAACTTTGCTATAAGCGTATTTTTCTCCAAGGCAAAGATTGCCATGGTATCTGCTGTGGTGCTGTGGTATCTCAACTACGTCGTCACCGAATTCATTCTCATCGACTACTACAATATCACAACGTACGTCATTTCATTCTTTTATTCATATATTTCTTTAGTTTAAAGAAAGAATTATTCACGAGTTCTCATATGTTCGGGACAATGTCATGGTCGGAAATCCTTGCGTTATTTCCTAAAATGTATCAATAAATTATGAGTACGTGTATGTATGTATGTATGTATGTATATATGTGCATGAACCTAAATTAATTAGTTTGCGTTCGCAAATTGTGCGTCGAAATGTGACTTAATCATACAACGCACGGCAAAGCACAAGTACGTCCAAGTTCTTAAATAATCATAGAATGTACGATATTCAAAATTCCCGTGGACAACGTTCCGCGGGGCGAATGCTATCGAGTTTTCGTATAAAGTTAGAAAGAAGGTGTCTAAATGAATGAAGAAAACGTTAGAGGCGGATGATGACAAGTAATCGAGTGAATGTTTCGCATCGAATATTAATTAATTATAAAGCTGTATAAAAAAAAACGACAGTCGGAAAATTTCGCGTGCGATTAGGTGGACTCGAAGACCCCCTGAGATGCAAAAACTCAATCATGTTTGCAAACAATTACTGACCTGGTTATCGTGTGAATATTCTAATGATTGCATTTGATATATGGCGCATACTACTTCATACGTCAACAGCAGCAAAAAATATATATTCCATAATGTAATTTTAATATTTGACATTAATGTTTCTACTTTGTTTTTAGATCGCAAAAGGTAGCAGCTTGCCTCTTACAGAATACCTGTCTAGGAATGGCCATCCAGACTATATCACGATTGGAAAGCCTGAACGTTGGTATGACATGGGAAACACTGACCACATCACCGGCTCAAGGCTACGACGTACCCGTACTTATGACTTGGATTATGTTTGTAGTAGATTCCATTATCTACGGTCTTATAGCATGGTAAATTATACTTTATCGTCTGTAACGCGGGAACATGGTAATGTGTCTTTTGCATATTTTCGCCTCGATCTAACGAATCTCTCTCTATCGGACAAAAAAAAAGTTTTTTGGATGAAACGGGTTTGAAAGCCTTTTATATGACATACATGGAATCCGCCTTTATTTTGACGGCCGCCATCTTTAATTTCAATGGCGAAAATACACTATTAATGACCTCATGAAATGTTACCGATTACTTGCTTCTGAATAACAGAGCTACAGGTAATCCATAATCGTTTAACTCAGCCAATGATTCGAATTGATGATTATCGGAACAAAACTGTCGCTCATGGGAATTATTTTTGCGTTTAGGTGTCACATTAACACCTATATATTTGTTGCCACGTTTGCAAGTGGTCAGCAACCAACGTATAATTTCACTTTGCACTCCAAGGTACGTCGAGGCAGTTTTCCCTGGTGAATATGGCATTGCACGGCCTTACTATTTCCCTTTTACGAAGTCGTATTGGATGGGGCCAAGTGAAAATGATGTGAAACCAAATACTAAATATAACGACGACGACGAGGTATGATGTTCTTCCATTCAAACAAAACAAATGACATCATTTCATTCTGTTCTGTGTGTGGGTGTTTAGGTATGTGGAAGCGGTGTTTCCGGGGACATATGGTATAGCCCGCCCTTATTACTTCCCATTTACGAAGTCTTACTGGTTCGGGCCGAGCGACTTTAACAGTGTCTCGCCTGAAACGCACGAGGTCAGCCTCAGATTTAAGTGCTCAATGTTTGTTATAATGATCGTGCAACGTTATGTTAAATATAAATACATCGGTGAAATATACATATCACATTGATTTTGACCTTTTGTCATTAAATACGATGTATGTTTGTTATGCTAATAATTCGGGATGTGATGTAATAACATACAGATCCGATCTTTACAGATGGAGATGAAAAGAACTGTTCATGAAAACCACGAGCCGGAGCCGAGTGATCTCATCCCAGGAATACAAATTTCAAATCTACGTAAAGTTTATGCGGTAAGTCTGTTTTACAACACATACTCATCCCTGTGATGACACTAATACTCTTGAACTATACGGTTCTTAGCTTTCTTTGTTTTCAATATTCAGAGTTCCGTTGGAAGTAAAGTGGCCGTTGATAACCTGAATTTAACAATGTTTGAAAATCAAATCACATCTTTACTGGGTCACAATGGTGCTGGGAAAACGACAACGATGTCTATCTTAACCGGTTTATTCCCGCCTACTGCGGGAACTGCTGTGGTGAATGGCTACAACATTGCGACAGAAATGGATAGTATTCGGGAGAGTCTTGGATTATGTCCGCAACATAACATTTTGTTTGATCGACTAACAGTTAGCGAACATTTGACGTTTTTCCTGGCATTAAAGGTCCGTGAACGAATCTTCATAATCTCACCAAATCGCACTCTTATAGTAATTGCCTAAAGCAAAAGCCTGCAATAAACGCACATTCGTGAAGTAGGTCGTTATTTGCTAAACAATCATAAAATATGTGTTGAAGTGAGTCGACAATTATCATTATTCTATTTAGTGTCGTTAAAAAATAAATAACATGATACTGTCTTAATCTACAGGGAATAATCGGAGAGGAGTCAAAAGAACACATAGAAAGTATGATTGAAGACCTGAATTTGTCCGATAAGGCCAAAAGTAAAAGCAGTGAACTTTCTGGGGGAATGAAGAGAAAACTAAGGTATGTATACGCTTTTTATCTTGATAAAATAAATGTTTAATATATACCCACAGTGTATAATATCATTGGTTGGTTGCATTTGCAGTGTAGCAATAGCTTTGATTGGTCGCCCGAAGATAGTGATGTTGGACGAACCAACTGCCGGTATGGATCCATATGCTAGAAGATCTACTTGGGATTTGCTTTTGAAACATAAAGACGGAAAGACCATTATTCTGACAACCCATTCTATGTAAGTAAGGCAAGATTTGGAATCACCACTGGAAATAGTATAAAGTACCCCGACGGGGTTGATTGATTCATTATAATTCATTTTTTTTATGAACACAGGGATGAAGCTGATCTACTCGGTGACAGGATTGCTATTATGTCTACTGGTAGTCTGGTCTGCAGTGGAACCTCGCTCTTCTTGAAGAATAGGTAAGAACCTATGACATGGATTTTACTGGATATGGGCTAAGTGATGGTGGACAGATTTGCCCCGAGAAGAATCGTAACTAGTTAGGTTAATTTCGACCCAGGACTTATATATCTACATATTGTTTGTATTGTACGAGATTTGACATGCGCATGTCCAATTAGTACTACACGCTATTTTAAGCTCTCTTTTGTGAGACAGTTAGGGTTGATGTAGTAGGTAGCGTATCTGCTAAACATTTACACTAGCTGAATCTGATTATAATCCGATTTTAATTTTCATATTAAGGAAAAAAATGAGCCTATACCTCGATCAAATTTTAAAAAGATGGGGGGAAGGGGCAATAGCCATGATCTTGGGAATCATATATTACATGTTGTGATGTGTGTTTGTGTGCCTGTGCTGTTATTATACTGGGTTATATTGATTATAATAAACTAGATTTGGAATTGGCTACCATCTTACCCTTGTGAAGACCCCATCCTGTATCATAGATGCTGTATCTAGCCGGATTCGAATGTATGTACCACAGGCCGAGATGTCAGCGGAATCAGGAGCTGAGTTGTCATATATTCTCCCTAGGGAAAGTACGGCATCTTTCAAAGCAATGTGCAAAGATCTCGAAGGTAAAATAAAATTATAATATGTCCTATATCGTGACAATCACTAATGCATATAACTTGTAAATCATTATTGTTAATCAGACCTAAACCGAAGAGTTTGAGTCAATACCACAAACAACAGCAGATATGGCCTTATGAATTGAGCTATTGTATATTCTGATCGATGTTGCTTACTAAAAAATGTATTTATTGTCTAATAGATAATCGAGAAAATATTGGAGTTACCAGTTTTGGTATATCTGTTACTACTCTTGAAGAAGTTTTTCTTAAAGTTGATCAGATGGCCGAAGATGCAGAGGAAAATGCCGAGGAAGATACCATGTTCCATGATGACAAACAGATGAATGGTATAGGGGATTTTGACGAACTGCCTGCGAGTAATGGTAAAAGTGTGATGCATGCACATGACGGTGCAAACGGAAGTACTGCTGACATTTTATCTGCACCACAGACTGAGATTGAAATGAACAACGCATATGAACAAGAAGGTTGGTTATCATTACGATTATACCACTTGCAGTTCGATAAGTACACGTTTATCTCTGAATGAATGGTAATTTTTTCTCTCTAGGCATTTTGTCAGGTGTTGCCCTGAAGTGGCTGCAGTTCAAAGCAATTTTTGTCAAGAGATTACTACACAGTAAGAGGGATAAAAAAGCCATAGTCACACAGCTGTTGTTGCCATTGATCTTTGTTATATTTGGACTATTGTTGCTGGTTTTGTCACCCAATGCAACCGAAGAAACTATACGACTTCTCAACTTGAGAAACCTTAGTGCTGAGAATCCAGATGCAAGTGTGTTTTATGCAGATCTCAGAAGTACATATAACGAAAGGGATCTTTTGAAGGTATTCTAGATTCTAATATAACATTATAATAAATTGAGTTGAGGCTCGGTGCAAGTATTTTTATGTCAAGAATAAAACTCTTAATATATGTCTGTGAAATTATGTATACAATATGAAATTAATAATTAACATAAGCTGAGTTTGCAAAGTTTGGTTGTGTTTGTTCGATAACCACCTTGACCGCATTGATTGATGAATGAATCCCGATCAGTGGCTTTATGTCCACGGCATACTGACCTAGGGTAGGGTCCACTGAGAAACTCAACATTCAGCAAAAAAAACCCTTGGTTGATTGTGATGAATTTGTTTTGACGATATTGGCAAAAATATTGTCAAACATCTGCAATTCTTTTAATTTTGTCTTCATCAAAACAAATTCGGTATACATATTATTGAGCATTTAATAGGTGAATTTATTAAAAGTCATATAATTATGTACTATAAAAAACTTTATTTTAGCTGCAATTAATTTTCGCTGAAAAGACTTTTTGGGTGTTTTGTATGGAATTTATTTTCACTGATGTTTGACGAGTTGGTTTTATTTTCACTGAATCATTCCTTCAGCGAAAATAGCGAAATTTAATTCCAAGTGAAAATACAGTGTTTTATAGTATGCTCCACTGAATAAATGAATCCAAATATACTGGTGATTTGCGATATCTCGAATTAGATAAGCATTCGAATTGTTAACAAAGGAAGGTCGATCATCATTCATCATCCAACTTCCCAGCATAAACACTTTCTACCAATCCAATATGTTCCAGACATGGTCTAATAAGCACAGACGCAATGAAATACACACATGCGTATAATAAATATGGTAATGCAAAAATGTGCAAAGATCAAGGGTTACTGCAAAGATGTGTTGCATAACTATCAGAAGTATGGGTCATCGGGGTCAACAATTGAGACAAGCACCTTCACTCGGCCGTACTTTTGAATTAGTTAACTCTATTTTCACAGTACTGAATAATCTTATTCCTTTCACTTTTAGTACCTCCCAAAAGCACTGGATGAGCAAAACATGCCAGTAATTAACATCGCTGATGACGTCTTTGAACTCCGTAAAAACAACTCTGGTTCTTTGATTGATTCTGAGCAAATAACTGATGTCATGGATTGCTGTCAGTACAAATATCAAATTTTGAATTCATACTGTTCAGATGAGGTGAGTTTTGTCACTTGTATCTTGTACAATGTCAATGGCACATCACTTGTGTAAATCAATTAAACAAAACAAAACATGTTAGCCTATAAGCGCCCTTCACTCATGTGCCTCGGTGGGGAATGGATTTTATTGTATGTAAAAATATGTGTTTTTTTTTTAGATTTACGAATCGGCGAACGAGGATAAGAATTTGTGTTCTGAAATTGAGGATTTCGCATATTACAACTGTCCATACTGTGTTACTAACCCTGGGTAAGATGGCATGTATGGTTAAAATGTATAAGAAAATCTATTTCACGACTCGATTACTAAATATACTCATGAGCTCATGATTTTGTATTAGTATCAGTGTCATTTTAATTATTTTTAATTGATACATTTCGAATACAGGTATTACAGTGACAGCTTCAATGACAGCTGTCCAGTCGGCGCTGATGATACTGTGCTACCGTACATGAATACCTATTTTGAAGAGTACGTCCTACGTGATAGCTCAGTGGGAGAATATTTCAACGACCATGTCGCTGGGTTCACAATGGTGAATGATAGGAACAATACCAATTGGACTTTAATCACAGTGTGGTATAGCAACCAGGTATATATTATATCGTTCATTTCAGAATTTAGACTGTTATGTTTGATGATAACAATTTCAAGATACATATAAGGAACATACTATCCCCAGTCTACTAGTCTAATGACAATACGCATCAATTTATTTAGAACAAAGAATACACTAAGCTTATAGATTATTTGTTGTACCTTGCCGCGATCACAACGATAATAATACTTACAATCCCTAAAACTTACCTAGAGGGATATTGCATTACTAGAGTTCTAGATTTGGTAATCGTATTATCGATGCATTTAGCATACACTTCGTTAACTTGATTATTGATTTCATTTTTTTGTTAGCCGTTCCACGCCTCCGTGGAAGCCCTTTCAGTGCTTGACAACTCGTTGCTTCATTACATGACAAATATCAGTTATAACATATCTGTTAGTAATCATCCTCTGCCTGCCTCGTCATCTGAACAGGTAAAGCAATTTCCACTTTGTGACTGATACCAGTCACTGCTATTTCAGTTGTAGCCTATTGGCTTTATTCCAGACACAACACGTCGTGTCAACCGATTATAAAATGTTAATCTGTTTTGTTTCGATTTTGTCGCATAGCTATCTGACACAGCAGAACAGTCATTGATTTTGGCTATATGTGCCGTATTCGGACTCGGATTCCTTGCTGCAAGCTTTGCACCATTTTTAATTTCAGAGAAGACCTCTAAGGTAAATACAACTGAATGTTCTATTTTCCAACTTCAGCAATATTTTCTAACATAGAAAAGTCACTTTACGGTTTTAAAACCAATATTTCTTATCTTACTACCAGGCTAAATTGTTACAATTTGTAAGTGGATTGGACGCCATGAGTTACTGGTTTGGAACATTTTTTTGGGACGCAATTAATTACTCCATAGTTCTCGTTGTATTGGTTTTTCTGTTTGGAATATTCCCAACAGTATATGCGCCGCCAAACTTGGGAGAAACCACTCTACTACTGGTTAGTTTTAATTATAGATTATTAATATTATTATTATTATTATACTGTATCAAGTGTCCATAGAGAAATCAGAAATAGCATTATTTATAACGAAAAGGGGCTTATAGTTACGCCAATATATCACTGTGTATACAATTATACCATTGCCACTATGAAACAATCGCTGTTTAAAATTGTACAAATATTTTCTATGAAGTGTTGAAAAATAAAAAAAATATTTCTTCTGCTGATTGCACTGCTCGACCTCTCAAGTTAAAAATTAACCGAAGTGCATTGTTGTACGCTACATGCAGATCATGCTTAACAGTACAATTGCTCCATACATTTAAGCAATAATTACTATATATAAAAACTGCGAAAAATAGTACATTTAACATGTTTCGAGCACTTCCCCCAAATTCCTCAAAATAATATTTGCCCTGGCATAAATTGACCTGAGTTGACTGCTCATGTCTCCGGTATCATCATTAGAGGCAGCACACTGTATAGATGGTACGTTATATCACGAACGGTTTTTTATACAAATATACAGATTTTGCACGATCAACTATGAATAGTGCAATCAATATAAAATATGTAATAAAGAGCATAATTCGTTTCCATTATGGGTTAGAAGTGATTCATTTATGTTCCAACACAATTGCTATTCTAGGTATTGTTTGGCTGGGCCTGTATTCCAATGACATACGTGTTAGCCTGGCCATTCGATTCCCCACTAGCTGGTTATGGACTTATTGCCCTGTTGTATTCATTGGGATCACTGGTAAGATATTTCATTTCGTTTCCCACGACTATTTTACACATGGAAGAAACTTTTTTGCATCCACAACTTAACATTAAATGAAACAGTTTTCATTTAAATGCATGCCACCTTTTGCATAAAGTTGTTCTCAGAGTTAAGTGAATTCGTTAGTACATGGCCTGGCGCCTTTGGTACAAATTATAATAGTATTCTGAAACTTTTTTATTCTAGATAACATTAATCGTAATATTTATTCTGGAACTATTAGACCATACCCAGGAAGCGGCTGTCATCTGTGATTATATTTTCATGTTATTGCCAACGCACTGTTTAGGTAGAGCTTTGATTTATCTCGGGGTCAATGACGCAGCTGTGCAGCAATGTACAGCTACACAGGTGTAAGTATAGAATTACTTATTTATTTGTATATGCGGGTATTTGCATCATTCTGCCAAGTTAGTTTACAGTCAAAGTATGCATTATGCTTTCCTTACAGGGATCGTCTCGTCTGCGAGACCTCAGATGTTGAATATGAAGAAAATTACCTTGCTTGGGATATGCCTGGTGTTGGACAGCACTGTCTGTACTTGTTCCTAGAAGGGGTTTTCTATTTAACGATGATCCTTCTGATGGAGGTGTGTAGTAAATTCTAAACATGTCACGCCGTTTAGGTTTTTAATACAATATCTGTCTTTGCTAGGTATCATTATTGCGCACTTTAATTTCCAGTGTCATATGTGTCTTTTCTTTTTTTTAGGTGCATTTTTTTATCCCATCAAGATCACCTGAGCATCTAGAATCTCTGGAACCTGTTGAGGATGTATGTACAACAATGACGATTATTATAGAAATGAACTATGGAACTAAAATTCGACACCAGAAACTATGCAGGCATCTTATGGAGTCATAAATCAACTTTTATTACGATTTGTTTTCTGCAGGACGAAGATGTCGGACAAGAAAGAGCTAAAGTAGAGTCTATGTTAAGCCCCGGAGACAGTGGATACGCTGTAGTCCTTAAGAACCTGACGAAGACTTATCGAGGAATGCTTGACACGTGTAGACGAAAAAAGGGATTTACAGCCGTCAATGACTTGTGTTTAACGATCCCAAGTGGCGAATGTTTTGGTCTCCTTGGAATAAACGGTAATCTTAAACGGATATATTTGTGTGACGTCGTCCACGCCACAGTATGTGTGCAATATATAGTTTACTTGACATTTTCTATTCTGTAGGTGCTGGTAAGACTACGTCATTCCGTATGATGATCGGCGATCTCAGCACGAGTGCTGGTACTGCTTACATGGGTGGTTATAATATTCTAACGGATCGAAGACAGGTTAGTCTATAGCCATTGCACAACTTGCAAGTGTTTCCGTGTTAATGGTTGCATGGTGGCAACTGATGTCCTCTGTTTTCTTTTTATTAGGTTCAGCAACGCATAGGATACTGTCCACAGGTAATTTGCCATGCCATTTTATTTGCAGTTAAGATATATCATTTGTCGAATAATACGATGTCGATGATCATTTTTGGTTTTATTATGTATATATTTGTTATATTTAATAATGTCAATTTTCAGTTTGATGCCTTGATAGATAAACTGACTGGCCGTGAACTTATCAGGATGTATGCTCGTCTACGTGGTATTCCACCGGACACCATAGAAGCTGTTGTGGACAGTTGTATATCTCACCTAAACCTTGGTAATTGGGCTGATAAGTTATGTGGAGATTACAGGTATTAACATTCACGATTCAATTCATACATTCACATTACATTCACCCATTTGAAAAATGGCTCATTGAATATACTCGGGGAAACTCCGGGGAATATTCCATGGAATAAACTAAAACAAATATATTGTTATTTTGTTTGCAGTGGAGGAAACAAACGAAAGGTTAGCACTGCCTCAGCCATGGTTGGCAATCCGCCAATCATATTCTTGGTAAGTACTAGTTGCGATAACCCTATTTAATATCTGGGACAAAAAATAAACAGTTTGTTAATAAGAGTTATGATCGGATTTTAGGATGAACCGACAGCAGGAATGGATCCCAGGGCACGGCGTTTTCTCTGGAATGCTATCACTCGTCTGATGAAGGGAGGTAGATGCATTGTTCTAACTTCACACAGGTGAGCTGAGATATGAAACAATTAGAAACCATGTGCATTATTAAGTTTATCATTCCACATCCTTATTCTGACATTTTAGTGTCCTGATATGGACGTTGCACCACCTTGTTCGGGCATCTCATCTTCTTATTCAGGAACCCTTGTGTTGTTGATTATATATTTCTTATTTTGGAGATTTCACCTAATTTTGTACCAACTCTAATAATGGAGGGTATCAATACCCCCTCTAAGTAACTTAAATATGGTTGGAAACATTTCACAATTTAGAGCGTATACAATAGAATTTAGTAACATTATACACATTAGTGTGTTTAGACACATGATATGTCTTAATATTATACTTCTCTATGTGTGTGATATATCCACAGCATGGAAGAATGTGAAGCCTTGTGTACAAGACTAGCCATCATGGTCAATGGTCAGTTCAAGTGTCTTGGAAGTACCCAGCATCTAAAAAGCAGGTAGGTTTGATTGCACGGTGTTACTAAACATGCTACCTCATGTACTTCTAATCTTTTTCAAGGATGCCATTTTATAATTTGTCTTTTATGTATTTTTTTTTCACCCGTAGATTTGGTAAAGGTTACATGTTGATGGTCAAAGTAGACGCTGAGACTAGCACAGAACCGGTTAAAGAGTTCCTCAACAATTCATTCCCAAACCTGAAACTCTTAGAGGAACATGCGGTATGTAATTTCTAATCACCTTGAGAAATGCACTGCAATATAATATTTCTGTTATTGTGGATATAATAGTGATGTAGAACTATGTTATTGAGAAACAAACCTGTGATAAATTGAGTTTCTAAGTTAAGAAATTCTAAATATTATAAATGCCACATATGCACACAAGTTATCTTTGATATCTTATCTAAATTTATTTCTTCATATTAGATGTGTTCTATAATATTATATACTAGTACTATATTATGTGAACGTACCACCAGTACATGCGTATGTCTCAACAAACTCTCCTGTTCATTTTTCAGGGCATGCTAAGTTACCAAATAGAAAATGCAGATTTGAGTTGGTCTTATATATTTGGAACAATAGAAGACAACAAAGACACCCTGAATTTAACAGATTATAGTGTCAGCCAAACCTCTCTAGAACAGGTATAAAGCTTTTTTTTCATAGAATAGTTCTTATTGGGATGACATTTGCAGTATAGAATATCAGCTCGGGATTGTCTTGGTAATGAGTTAGTGTATCCATATTCCTCAACAACGTACTTTATATAACATTGTAATTTAATTTTCAGGTATTTATCAACTTCGCTAAAGAACAGAACGAAGACAAGAAAAGCTAGGCGCATGTATGGGGATGCGTGTTTACATACCACCTTAGTATGTGAAAGTAATATACATTTTAAGAGCACATTCAAACAAATAATTTGTATTTTGTTTATTTCAATTTTGTTTCATGATTTCAATAGGTTTTTGTTCTTAGTTGTCACGTTTATGATACAGATACTATTTCACATGTTAGAAGAACACTTGTAAATTTAAGTTAACTTCACTACATCCCCAATTTGTATTCAACAATTCATTATACCACATTCAGATTAATACAGGTATATCCCATTTATGACGTAACCAAATAATTATAATAATAATGTATGTTACATGTGGTTCCTGCACGGATTTGAAGTGCCCATACATCATCATGACATGCATATTAAGCCTGTCATTATTAGTTAAATATACCCCTCCTTGACCAGGGGATGATTTTCTGTCAGATCACAAATCAAAAGTTTTCTGCACCCCCTTGCCAACAGAGGTTTGTCAATATTATCTTTTTATTTGGAGTATAAACAAATAATTAACCAAAACTGTAGGTGTCTAAGAGGTGAAACAATTGTGTTTTGTCATTTTGCGTCTATGTGGGATATATAGAAAGTACTGAAAATACGGAAATATACATTTTCATGAGGGTCTTTCCAATAATTGTCAGATATATGTAAAATATACCAGCTTACACAGTGATGAAATAATTATTCCATCTTATTATTTGGAAAAAATAATGCTTTAATTCTATTATCCCCCCCCCACCAATTTTTTTCTTGATAATATACAGATTTCCTTGTGTGTATATATGTATTTTATTATACATAAAAACTGTTTGTATGTTTGTGTACTATTTTAATTTAAAAGAATTATATTGCAATTTGCAAAAGTTCTTGTTGTGTAAGTAATTCTACTCCAATCCCTTTATCCTGTGGTAAACAAGTCATTGTTAATGACATAGTCCCTTTAAAGTTTTTAGTGACTTTGTCAAACAATGCAAAGCATAGTCAGATTAAACTGAACTGGGCGGCATCAAGTCCATCATTATGCAAATCACAACCACATAAACCCATTGCATTTGCTCTTGGTGCAGAGAATGTCTACCAAGGCTTCAGGTTTCTATCACAGGATGGCAATGACGTTTTCTAGTGGAAAATCTAATAAAGTAAAGCTAATTGTTTGTAGTGATCAAATAAAGTGAGTTTCCTTGTTTGAAGTACAGAAAAAAATCATCAAATTTGTTTGGCAACTACCGGGTAGTTGTAGTAATTGTAGGGCTACTAGTCCATGGACTATAGGGAGCTACCATGCACCCACCTTACAACCCTCCTAGACCCAAATTTTGTTGTTCTAGCGTTATCTGAAACTTTTTTTTAAAACCCTTTAAGTAACCAAAATTCCACATATGGTATATCAAAACAAAAAAGCAGCCTTTAGCCTAGTCATAGCTTTTTGGGGTTTGATACAAAGTCTCCAAGGTGCCTGTGAAGAATGCCGTTTCAATGGTAGTGCCTAATATACATATTTAAATTCAGAAAATCAACATAATCATATTATATGATATATCAAATCAAAGGCATTTTAACGTACATTCTCATCTTGGAATTACACTAAAGTTTGAAATACAAGTTTTATGATTTCAGTAATTTAATCTTACTATGTTTAATACTTGTGCGTTATTTTTATTTATACATTATTATGCAGAGACAATGAAAACTGTTTGTAGATTAGAAAATGGTTTATTGAAATATGCATACATCCCATTTGACTATTGTATATTTCACACTTTCCAAAATCTGATAGCTACTGGTAAATGGCCTACCCCAAATGGTGTACTCGTCTCAATAAGTATCAAATGTTCAATTGCCTCAACACACAATATGAAATAGAACATTGGAATATTTTATTACATATTATTCATGGTCATCAGTTTTCAAAAATGTTCATACCAGAATGTAAAGTTAGAAAAATGAATTTTTATTATAGATGCGAGTGAACGATGGAAAAGATAAATTACTAAAATAATGATTCGCAATACTATCGAAGCATAGTGTGTCAGAATGGTGAGTTTACAGTTTTGCTGGACAGCCTGTTTTAGTTATTAAATGTTATCATAGTTTACTTCAATATTTTTTAACAAAAACTGCCAAGTGACTGAACAGAGCGCACTGGGATGATGTCAGCACGGTATTGATCTACCATAAACAGACCACAGAAACTAAAACACTGAACAGAGTGCACTGGGATGATGTCAGCACGGTATTGATCTACCATAAACAGACCACAGAAACTAAAACACTGAACAGAGCGCACTGGGATGATGTCAGCATGGTATTGATCTACCATAAACAGACCACAGAAACTAAAACACTGAACAGAGCGCACTGGGATGATGTCAGCACGGTATTGATCTACCATAAACAGACCACAGAAACTAAAACACTGAACAGAGCGCACTGGGATGTCAGCACGGTATTGATCTACCATAAACAGACCACAGAAAGTAAAACACTGAACAGAGCGCACTGGGATGATGTCAGCACGGTATTGATCTACCATAAACAGACCACAGAAACTAAAACACTGAACAGAGCGCACTGGGATGATGTCAGCACGGTATTGATCTACCATAAACAGACCACAGAAAGTAAAACACTGAATAACGAGTTAAATATAAAAAATGGGTCTTTATTTTAGCATAACATTTTATACATTAATAAAAAAAACAATAAAAAAAATAAGTAAAAACAAATTTCCCAAAATGGATGGATGGAGCTTGTTCAAAACTCCTGCAAGATCTTTTGATCAAAAATGCACAGATAGACATGGTGATACTAGTTTCCATATTAAAGTACTTCTTGGCAGTCACCATAATTATCAAAATAGCACTGTAAACAGCATCACAGAAATTAAGTCTTGCAAAGTGTTGGCAAATATTGATTTATAGATTTGTACAAGTCCAAGATACCAAAAAAAAATGCACTTAATGTTTTTTTTATACATTTGATAATTATCCAAAAATGTTGCATCTCTGAAATGGAGCTAATTTTTTAATTTGCATGATGGTTGCGGTCAATTTTATACAAGTTTTTCGGTAAAATCATTATGGCACAACACATAATTTGCTTTTTATGGTGATATTAGTATGTATACTTCAACAAAAATTTCAGATTGCTCCGACCTCTGGGACCACAAGAAATTTAGCACTTTTGTTTTTCAAATCTAACATGGATGGGTGGAGCCACATGGGCAATCGCGGTGAATTTTGAAGAGTCAACGTTTTGTAGCATCTACAGTTACTAAAAGATCATTCAAGAAGTATCTAATTTTTAAGCCAATTTTGGTTAATTCAATTTTCTAAAAAAGACACTTATGTTATATCTAGAATTGTATGTTAACGTGATAACAAATTCAATTAAATTTATTGCTAAATTAAAAATGAAAAAGTGGCATGACACCCCAGGTTTTTATTCATGAAATACTAAGCATGTAATACTTATGCTAATGATACTACAACAAAGTTTTCAGCATGACATGCCCAGAAGTATGCAAGATTGAGTACTTCCTTGTTTTCTCAAATCAAAGCATGTGACCATGATTGAAAAAAAATATAAAATTGCATATTCAAATTAGACATTTAATTGCAGATCAATCAAACAAGTTTTTAAATGTTACAAATGCAATTTTTTCTAATCATTAATGATAACACACAAAGTTGTGCAACATGATAGTTTTGTAATAATATGCAAATGATTTTGTGTGCTTTGGGTGGAATACTTATTACATAGCTGAACACTAAACATATCTAACCACTATTGCCTTAAAGATTTTTAAAACAAATTGCGTACGTGTACAATCACTTAATTCATCAGATGTGCGATTTCATCTCTCAGCTGAGCACGGTTCCAGGGAGATCCAACTTGTCCTGCAAACTCAAACAGCGAAACCATGACCATGACTTGAAGCGAAAGAGTCATCACCTGCACATGCCAGATCCATGTACTTTTACATTGAATTGACCAGATAGGGGTTAAAAGAGTTTAATATTACAGATTGATGTTTCGTATTTGTTGTCTTTTTATAATCTCAGCAGTTTTATGTTTAAGCAGTTTGTGTATTAACTAGTCTTCCTTAAATGGCCACAACTGTGGATGTGAAATAAAAAAAATATAACGAATAAAAATACTCCAACTTGCGATAAATGATCACAGACACATAATAGGTACCAATTAGAAATTGGCACCAAGAAAAACATGGCTGACCATTACATAAAAGGATTTGCCAAGTACAGTGAATGTTTCAACATTCTGCAGCACTGAATGGTGTTGAGTAACGAGTGAGTGCCAATGGTTTGAAGTGTATTGGGATAAAATGTTCAAATTTGAATAAAGTAGTATGCATTGTGTATGGCAGGTTACATTAAATTGTATTTTTTTATTTATTTTAATACCCTGGATGAACTGACCCCCTCCTACATGAATATACAATATAAACATCGTTCAGATTAAAATTGCTGACGGTTCACATACAGACCCCCTCCTCTTCCTCCTCCTCCTACATCATAAAGTTGAGATTAACACTTTGCCCACGGTCCACATGCACAACATGAGTTTGTTGTCTTGGTGTCCCCCACCCACCAGCTGTAACTGCATATGTTCCAGGTGCCACCACAACATGCACATCTTCAGTTGTCTGCAACTAAAAAGAAAATCAAAAATTGTTGTTACCCTGCATAGGGCACACATGTAACAATTTCTCAATGAAGTTTGAGTCAAATTGAAGAATGTATGTCATTCTTTATAGATTCATTATAGTAAATGCTATTATGACAACTGGTATTTTTCAAGATACAAGTTTGAAATGTCACTAGAAAATAATCAATATAGGCATTTTTAGCAAATTTGTATGGTTTTCATGGTGCAATTTCAAGTTGATAATAATTTTCCATTATATACACACTGGGAGTTTACATCCCATAATGCAGTGCATATATGTGCAGTAACTTGCTCAGTAGAGCAAAATTTTAATTTGGCTCAAATTGCCTGAAGGTTTGTGGCTAAATTGAAGATTATATATCATGCAACATTCTTTCATTATAATGAGTTCATACCATCAGAAAACCGAAAATAAAAAAAAATTGGGGTCACAGGATGATTTTTTGAGACAAGAGTCTGAAATATCATGGGGAAAAATACAAATTACAAAAAATTTAACATTGTGAAATCATTTCAAATAATTGACATATAATTGACATATAATTGACATATAATTGACATATAATTGACATATAATTTAGTGAGTTTCCATGGTGAAACTAGTTTTCAGTTATATACAATGGGAGGATATCTCTCATAATGTCAGGGTTCTACCTAAGATTTTTTGGTTGAGTAGTGATTAATTTGCATAATATTTTTCAAACATGTACATTGGCAAGTTTTTCGGATTATAATTAATGTAATTGTATTAAAGAAATAATTTGTTAGTTAATAATAATAGTTTTTTAGAAAAGGTAACATTATACATGTATTAAAAGCCATTAAAACAGACCCCGCTAAAAAACATGCATCTACCATCTAAATTATATTGCGCATGTGCAACAAAAAACAAAATAGCAGCTGTATTAAAGCATGCTTTTAACAGGAAACTTTCCCTGTGTGTGGTTTTATAATTTCTTCATCAACTATAGTACATTACTTATATTTTTACAAGCCATATACGTGTCCGCTCTTAATCAGTTAGTAAACAAGTCATTGTCAATGACATAGTCCCTGTCCAGTTTTTAGTTAAAAACAATGACAGATGTAGATTATAATTAAATGTTAATTCAGCAGGTTAATGTGTTACCCATCGACTTTGATCAAAATCGTCCTGGTCATGTTTGAGAAACAGCTGCTGACACGTAACAATGTTGATTTAGCACTTTTTCATCAAAAATTACCATTGGTCAAAATGCTCGCCAGTCGGCAAAATTTGTTCGAATCATGAAAAAAAAAGACGTGCACCTTTAACCCAATATGTATGATCACCATAAAAACTTTGATCAAAATAATCGTAGTCATCTCCGAGAGACAGCTGCTGGCCATTTTAGAATCAAAAATGGCAAATTTTACGTCAAAAATGGTCACCAGTTGGCCATTTTTTTGCGATCTTCAAATTAAAAAAAAAACGCATCTGTAAAATATGATGTATTGTCTTTGTGTGACGTTAGAATGAGTCAATGAGTGTCTGAGACACTACTCCGGTCGGTCCCTGATTTTGGACTTTGAAGTTGATGTATAAACACCATTCTGTTTCACTGGCAGTGAATGTATTCATAGCAATCCTGAGGTGTCAATGTTACCTCAAACCTCTTAGAGAATATATCCTCAATATGTATCCTTTTACATTTGCATAGATGTTGCTGGCAGCTCACTTGCACAAACTGCTGTCAATCAAAGCACCTTAGACACATTTTGAAGAATCGTGTGTGAAATGAAAGGGTGGCGGGTGGTGGGCAAAGCATTGTGGCCTGTAGCGCTTAAAGAACACTGAATGTATTTGCATATATGTGCAGAAACATGCTCAGTATGGCAAAATTTGTTGTTTGGCTCAAACTGTTTTTAAGTGAAAATACTACAACGGTTTTGCAAACAAGTAAGGCAGTATTGCATTGTAATACTTCAAGGTACATGTTGCATCAAAATTGCTGAGAATACGTTGATGTCATAATGTTTTGACAGATTCACATATAATTATTATAACATTACAATACTTACTGGATTCTTTTTCTGCACTTCTGAGTATTGAGGAGTGTGAAATCTACAACAATGACCTTTATCACGTGTACTTTTTGATCCTGATGATGAACTCTGATAGTATCTCTGTAACAGTCACAAATTTAACATCAAAAAAGTTTAAACATAGGCAGTCACCCCCCATAACATTTTGTAAGCATGCCTATGTTGGCTGGAATTGAATGTCGAACCCAAAGGTAAAATAACAGCGCCGTCCACTACTGTTATTAAATATTCAAGCATGTGTCCATATTAATAAAACAATTTAAAGGCAACATTGTCAGGCAGATCACAAGCTAGTCCTGATCAAATAAAGATTTGTTATCAAATGTAGTTTGGCGAAATTCTCATAAAATCACGCCCTCTAGCTACGAAACGTTTCTGTGACGTCAAAATGATATGTACGGATAAAGGCGATGTTGTTCAAATCCACTATTTTAATGTGTAGTAGTGTATCATCTAGAATATAGTAAAATCTCTCAACAAAAATCAACTTTTGTAGATGAACGACTACAGATGAAAACAATTTTGACATTTAGAACGGCATTTGAGCCACCCATTTATGTCATTAAAGCGTTTTGACATCACAGTGCAACAGCCTACACAGATCAGAGTGACGCAGCATGACGACCACCATTCTTTATTCAAACAATGTTTTCTATAAAGTACTGTAGGGTAGAATTGTAGGTGAAACTCAATTTTTGTGCAACTAATATATATATAATATGAGGTTATTACAAGGGTACCTCAAAGTTTGCATGAAGACAGTACAGCAGGAGTATCGACCGTACTGTGTACTGTCTGAGTGCATACCTTGAAGTATTCTCGTAATAACCTTATTATTATACATCTTTTAAATTTCTTTCAAGGATACATCAAGGGAATGCCGAAATCAAAAATGTTTAGAACAGAATCAGCGAACTTCTTTGTGTGGAGTCCAGTCAAACTCTGGCCGCAGTCATGTTTGTTTTTATTATTATTATTAGAGGATGCTTCCACACGTAATCATTCCATATTTGGAATTTGCATTTCCTAATATCGTAGGATGAAAATACCCCGTAAAATAACGCAAAATTACAGCATACTGAAACTGATGGCATTACGGTGACAGATGTATAATAATAGCATGTATGTGTAGCTGGACGATTCATTATTTGAATACTTACTTTACATTGTCTACTGGTCGATGACATGAACTGAATAATGTTAGAGAATGCATCATCAATGGTTGTATACACTGCAGGATCCTACAAGATGAAAATGTACATGTAATAAATATATCGGTTGGTGGTATATACCTGGCAGTAGAATCATATTGAAGATAGCAGCTGAAAAAGGCAACAGTGAATTACATTGACAATCAATAATGGATTCTCCTGACACATGACTTTTCAAGGTGAACAAGTAGTGTGCAGTTCCTTCTCCACCCTCTTGCCTGACTGACGCTCATAGTCCCATAGGTGCAGTAACTGCCACATTTGAAGCGGCCCTAGCAGGTGCAGTTTTAGTGCGTCAGGTGGCCCACAGAAACTGCTACTTTTTGCATCAGGAACAACTGCATCTTTTACGTGCCACTGAGGATAGCAACAGTGCACAGGACCTACAGCTTTACGCCCCCCTCTGAAAGGATGCCATTTTTCCAATATGAATGCTGCACGCCTGGCAAGTGGGCAGAACGTACAATCTCCCTGATGATGGGCAGACATGCTAACTATTTTGCCACACATCAGGTCCTGACAATGACATTTTATATATTAGCAGCACTCAAGGTTTAAATTTTGTTCCTGTCATGACAACCACTTTCATATTGTTGATGGCCAGCTGAAAAATTTAATTAAAAAAAATTGAACATACTTGTTGGTCACTAGAAAGTATTATGCTTTACAAATATATAATAAACTATACAAAAATTCATTATTATGTTAAAATTCAGATGCAATGTCTCTTGTATCATTACCGGTCGACAATGATTCACTGACAGGACGAGATCCATTATCACTCATATTATTCTGTGGCAAACTGCATGGACTTGCAATATGCAGCTACAGTCAAACCTGTCTATAGTGGTCACCCATGGGACTTTTAGATTTTGGCCTTTATAGACAGGTGGCCTTTCTATACAGGTTCACTAATTTATTCATGAATATTAATTAGGCATTGAATCAATGTATTAAAACAGATCTCGCAACCCCATTTGACACACACTATTACACTACTGTACACAGTATGCAAAAACTTTATTCCAAATAAAAAATGTTGATTTTTTATTCAATTTTAAATTGTATTATGTAAATTAAAATAATTTCACAAAAGTTGATCATTGCACAATAATGAGTAGTATCGAAAATGAAATGTTTGAAGATTTGTACAGTAAAGTTCATGTTCAGCAGCAGTTTTAGTATCATTTCCTACGAAAGAAATCACTCAGCTTGCTTTGCTTAGCTATCCCGAATTTGTACGTTTCTTTTAATATTTATTGTGTCTTGTACACTTAAATTAATAACTGTTCTAATAAATCGAAACGTCTCTGGGCTATAGCAAATTCTTTCAAGGAGAAGGGAGAGGAACAGTTAGCAGTGCCTTATTGATCCCTACAACTTATACGAAAAGAACACTTATCCATTGTAGTGATGGATCTCCTTCCAGTTACGTGACAACTTGAAAGTTTCCTCCCCATTCACAACACCTTAACATTTTGTTTATTTTTTTTCAAAAATCGTCCTGACCTACCTCACTTGCGAAATGATTGATCCCTCAAAATATTACTTTGCGTAATCGAAATCTGGGCAACTTCCATGTTATTGTACTGTTGCAACAATAGAAACATGTGAAATATGCCTAGCGACATTAGCCGGCGAACTGAAGTCAATTTAACATCATTGTTAAAAACATCTATTGTTACATGTACCAAGGCAGTAGCGACCGAAAAAAAAATTTGAACGAATTTAGTTGGACGAGACGATACTGCACACACATTTCTTCACAGTGATCGATAGGCAATAACGGAAACGACTCTACTTTTTGACCCGAGTTATCATAACCCCGGAAGAACAAGAATGCACATGGCGCAAGGCTAATTAGCATAATTTATTTGGATGGGAAAAACAACAGGCATGGCCATTGCGTTGATTTTTTTCCTTTTGCTACCAGTTCCAGTTACTTGCGTATTTGTCAATATTTATAGGAGTTCAAAGTGAATAAATATCGATACTAAATAACAAGTGAGTTGTTTTTTGTTGGCAAGACATCCGGCAACTATGTCCGTTATATGCAGTTCAACTGATCACTGCGGCCGCTGAAGCCTGGCCGTTGGCCGCGTTAGACAGATGGCCGCTATATACGGGGTACTTTACATGTAAATTTCATAGGGACTGTTCGGTTGTGACCGCTATAGGCAGGTGGCCGCTGCATCCAGGTGCCCGTTAACACCGGTTTGACTGTATAAGTCATTTCATTACAAATACATATGGTAGACAATGAAATGTGTATGAGCACGTGTTGATATATGGATAGAGCTGTGCCACCAAGAGATGACAAGCTGTATCATCTATTTTATGTTACAAAGAATTTGTTGCCAGTCAGATTTTGTTCAGGACGCCAATTGGTGAGCTACATATTTTTTTTTTCTTTCAGTCAGCACGCAAAGAAACAGCCCCCTCTATCACCCTTGATGCGTGTGTATGACAAGCATTTTTTCAGTCAGCACGCAAAGAAACAGCCCCCTCTATCACCCTTGGTACGTGTGTATGACAAGCATTTCCACATACAGCACTTGTAAATTGGGAGAAAATGATTGTGTTGTACTGTACTGTACCTGTATCATATAGTCTTGTTGAGGTTTTGGTTCCGGCCATGTAATCTGTCTTTCTTTTACTCTATTCAATGTATCCAGTCCCCTTCTGCCAGCCCGGCATAAAGTACAAGCCATCCAAGTATCATCCTTCAATTATAATGAAGAGCATATTAAAAATACGCCAAACTTGATCACAGATGGAATCTCAATTTTGTAAAATGAGTAACAATGTAGTTCTGACATCCGACTACCCTCTCAATGATGACAATCAGTGAGGGGAAAGCGATTGCCAAAATTATGATTATTTTGCGATTAAACTATAAAATTCCTACCATAAAAATAACTATTCCATGGTGACCACCATTTAGAACATTTTCACGATAGTGGGTCAGTGTTAATGTCGAGCCAGGTGCAAGAGTAACAATATGCAATGCACATTTTTGTTTTAGTCATTATGAAATTAGCTTTGACCAGTTCACAATACAGCCCACAAATGTATGAATTTAATTTCTTTGTCAATAAGTGAATCTGAAAAAATTTGGAGAAAAATGCATGCTTTTAAAACTGAAATTTAAGAAAAGACAATTTTTTAAATCATATCATGTGCAAAATAAACAAATAAAACATGTTATGCAACTGTATATACACTACAATATCAGATTTATTAAATAAGTAGTAATTTTCAGTTCTGAGCATTTGCAGCAAACAACCGAGGTCATGTCAGGCCATTTTCATGATTTTTTTTTACAGTTAATGAGTTTTTTTTTTTCAAAAACTGTTAGTAAGACGAGGCACCATACACATGTCACAGTTTTGTGCTAACCCTGTCAGATGATTGAGTTTTTAGGCAATGATGTTTTAAATTCAGTTAATTCACATACATTAACGTATAGAACTAGCTCCGAATAGTTTGAAATGTGCTAATGATGCAATTGCAGCGGTCTTGCAAAGCACAATACAATGTTTGAGGAAACTTTAAAATATTTGAAGTTGCATCCAAAACAATATTTTTTATGATAAATTATACAATAATATTTGTGTATACAGATGCAACCCCCATATAATTATCCACATTAGATTTTGGGATACACATGTACAATAAAATTCATTTCATTCTGTATATGTTGACACCCTATATAAACGTATGTCAATTGTAATGCTGGACCACCTCTTCTAGAATTGTCTCTAGAGGTGTACATGTATTTATAAGTCAGATTTCAATGATCAAGCATATACTTGTAATAAATGCAATTTGGGCTTTCGGCACACTTCAGAAAGAGTTATTTAAGGTCCCCTAATGTGAACCCCAACCCCAACAACCCCCAAATGTAATTAGGTGACCCAAAGAGGGGTATATACAATTGAAATGGAGGAGAAGGTACTGAAGGGGCAGGTTTAGAATTAGATTCATGAGTGAAGGGCATAAGCAACTCTTACCACAACCCCTATCCCCCAGCACTCCACGAATTAACTGTACACCTAGGATTAGGGGTGGGGTACAAAAGAAACTCTTTCCACATTTTCCAGCATCTAATTTGCTCGAGTTACAATGTAGTTGGGGGGGCATGACTTATTACCTAACTATGTTCCGAGATTGGAACAAATTTCCTGAATGAACCTCTGAGAGAATGCAACGGGATGACTAACTGACACATTGACCCACTACGCATAGACAATAAATTCACAATCTAGTAGAATTGTACACCATAGACACACGTCACAGTGACAGGTATATTGTGTATAATTCAACAAGTATAAATAACTGCTGAATATAAAGAGAAACAAAACGGTCTGAGTCAGTCATCGCGGGGGTCAACGCCTTTATGACCCGACCCGTGTAAACATGAATGACAGTCGGTTGGCAGATTTTTGCGCCAACTCACTGAACGTTATTGAGATTTCAATAGCTATGCGAAGAAATGTGACAGGAGAAAAAAAAACACAGTAATTAAATAGTTCGAGAACGACGATAGATTTAGGACCGATCAATGCACTGGAAATAGAACCAATAGAACCTTACTTACCGAACAACAAGGCATCTTAAAAACTTATTTTCACTGCGGTGTAAGTGAGAATGTATCAAATTTTACAATGTTACTCGAATTTACCAGAACAAAACAGAGCTGTGTCGTCACAGACAGGTATTGAAAATGTACAGAGCGCTGTAAACATAGAATAGGGCAAGTTAACACAACAGCAACAAACCAACGTTGAGCTCAAAATAACAAGAACTTGAAATGGGCGCTAAGTTTGGAACCCGGAAGTAACTGAAGTGTACCAGCATGCTTTGCGATAAACCATATCTTGTCGTACATGGCGCTATGCCAACAACGTTTTTAAACCTTTACCACAGAAACAACCACAGTCCCTCTAGGATAGATGGACTGTGAAACAGCCAATGGTAATTTTGTGCTATGTGCGAAAACTGCTATATATATATACCGTGATATACTACAATGATAGCCTGGTGGCAATGCAAAACCATGCCAATGTGTATTGGATTATTTTGTTCAAACACAGAGTTTTAGTTTCATGGTAACACGAACCAATATTCAATGTTGTGTACCAACACCGTATTTTGAAAGAATTTACGGAATATTATTTTTTTTAAATATAAATGCTTCATGACCTGCCTGTCTGAATAACTTTTCATATATCCCAGTTTTCTGATTATCTATGTTTTTATGTATATATTTTATGATGACAATAATTAATGCTCTTTTAATTAAGCGACTAAAATGCTAGCAACTGCTCGTCTATCCATCCATGAAGTCCATATATTTTTGTTATAACCATTTACTTGCTAAATTACCCGTCTGCAGATTTTTGTACTGTACATTTGTCGGTGCAATGACCTTAAACATGGTACATATAATACAGTTGTGTATGTTGTGTAGATTTGATTCTTTTTATGTACATTTCAGTGATCGTAAATTGAATGAGAAGTTAGTTTCACGCATTGTTTAATATATACAAATATTTAAATCATGCTGATCAATAGCATCACTGACTAAAACTAAAAAATCATTGATTTTATCAATTCGTACGCATTTCTCGAACATAAGCCACGGATTCTAGCATGTTCCATGGTTCTTGCACAGATTCACTCTGTCATGCGCGCATTATTCGTTCTTTGTTTAAACTGGACACATGTGTCGATGGATTATCCTGGTTGCATGGACACAACACGACACTTCATTTCTGTGGGTCGAGAGGATAGCAACGCACGCATCGTATACACTTTACCTTGGACCGTACAATCACACGGATAGGTAAGTGGACACGTAATATTGAAATTGTTGACGATTAACTATGAACATATATTAGCGTAATACGAATCATTTACTCCACGCATCCGACTGTGTACCAATTTCAGAACCCGGTGTGTTCACATATAAATTAAATTATAATTATTAATATTACAGTTTAGTTCCTGATTATTATTGCAAAGCAGATCGATTACAGTCTATATATAATTAATGAGAATAATTGAATATCAAAATATAGACGGGTAGATATTGCAATATTTGACTCGACACAGTTGAGTGTATACGGTGTTAGAAAGACGGCAGCACTTTATCGTGGAGTGACCGCATCCAATCCTTCAACGTGTTCTTCCGGCGTAAACAACTTATATTGACCGTTCGTAAACGATCTTTTAAAAAGAAATATGAACCTGCATTACACAAAATTTATCAATATGTAGTTCAAATTACTGCACTGCCTATGTCAACAAAAAATATACTAATTATTGTGAATTGGATTCCTATACCGGTATGTGGTTTTTAGTCAAGATCAGGTTATTGGAGTATTGGAGTTATTGGTTATAAAACATGCATGAACTCATTTACTGCGTCATATTGCATTTTATTAGCATTTGCACATTGATATCCCGTATATTAGGCCTAATACGTCCGTTTCAAAGCTCGCTGGATTATTTTCACAGGTGTGACCGTACAGCAAACTAATACAATGGAGTACATACAATATATAGAACACATCCCGGTATGTGCTATTGTATGGAGATTATAAACGACTGAAAAACACTAACTGAAATGTACTGATTATTAAATTACTCATGTAATGATATATCACTATTATGAAACCATAACTCGAAAATTCGATTTTATCGTAACTTTACACTTTATCAAGTTCATCTTAGGCCGCATTTGTTTCACTATCTGGCTGTCGATTCCATCTTGAATTGTCGTGGTGAACAATCAAAAACACGTTTACACAATATGACTTTTTTTATAATTTGTCATTTTGGTTGCTGAAAATATTAATAATACAATCGCATAAATTCACATATTTTTTTTAAGTTTAAATAAAAAATGTGTCTAGATTTGGGCCAATATTCATGTCATATAGACAGGTGAATAAAATATGCTATTGATTTTGTATATTTAAATGAGATATGGACTGAAGCGCAAGCGCCACAATTTTCGCATCTGTGCAACGTTGTCTAAATATTGAATTTTGATATTTTTACCCGACCCTGGTTTACTATTACATTACAATATGTTACATGTTACAACATAATGAAAACACGTAATGACCATCATCCTGTCATTACACGGGTGGTCTGCATTTAGATATGTGTAGATAATGTAAATGTTTTGTTCAATCTCAGACGCGGCGGCACGAAATTTTGCATGGGGCGAAATCTGCTCAACATCGCACTTTTTTTCAAGGTGACCGCTCCCCGGTGCCGCCGCCACTGAATCTTATATGAACATTGCTGTTCTGAACCATGTTAGTGGTTGAGGTGGCTTAATATGAACATTCCAGACTCAGAAATCCACCAGCCCTTGGTACGTAGTTTGGAGATAATCTCATACATCTCTTGACACCTAGATTGAAGATGAACCGGCCCACCTATACACACCGGGTCGTTGACACACAGATTTTAACACAGCGATTGAAGATAACTTGAAATCCCCACACCCCTTGACACACGGATTGAAGATGAACCTACTTTTGACACAGATTGAAAAAAAAACACTCACCCATTGATACCTGAATTGTAGACTTGTGACCAAGAATAGACCAAATATAGCAAATAGTCGGCCATGGAAATTACATTCATCCAATCAAAACGTTTCTAACACTAAATATGTGTGACATATGTTGAGTGGAGCTTAACCATATACATAATTGTTGTTTTATTACATCACAAACACGCTGCACAAGCTGACCACGACACTCTGGGTTATAATATCCGAGGTACAATGATTAACCGAATATGCACTCGACTCAGAGGCAGTGTCGTCCAAAGGTAACGGGGTATTTGACTGATTCTACGTTAAAAGAAGGCGGAGTAGTTGAATTTAGTGTTTTTGTTTTATCCCACACTCCTTGTTGGCAAAATCTATAGAAAGCTTTAGTGTGAGTACGCAATAATCTAGTCAGGCACTGCGTGTTGACAGACTGCTTACTGCCCCATTATATTCATATAGCCATTTTGTGAATTTTAATAACTAACTTTTCAGAAATGCAGCGGATTACGGTTAATATTTATGGGCCTTAATACAATCATAGCCGCGCATGCGTAATACGTTCTCTACTGTGAATAATTGCGATTTTCTTTCCTTCCCACAGTGTTTAGGCTCTTGTATATTGATCATCATGAAGCTTCTCGCCTTCCTCATTTTCCTGTGTGCTGTGTCTGGAATTTCTCTGGCGTCCATGGATTTCTTTTTAGACCCTTCAGCAGGTAAGTAATTGTCAATATCAATACAACGGATCACGTCCGAATAACAGCCTCCTTCCGGTAACGCTGATCTGATATGGCCCCGAATAATCTCACTCGAAACATATATTGAAGTAAACATTTTCACCACCAGTTCCCTCTTTTCATCACAAATCCACAAAAGGGTCTTATATAGTCTGCACTTCCCTTCAGAGGATTGGGACAAAAATTGCCAAATTGTTTGAGTAAAAACAAAAAATTGATCAAATTTCGTCTGTTTGCCCCAAATGAGGGTTAATTTCCAGAAATATTGAAGAATATTAAAAAAGGTGCAGACAAATTTGGGCGAGAAAATCTGGTGGTGAAAAGGTCCCCGCACATTTGTTTCGTCAAAGTTATCGTGAAATATTTTGAATTTTTTAAAATAATTTTCTTTAATGTCTTTGTCTTTTTCAATTTTTGAAAAAAAGGGACAGAAGTCTTGCGTATATTTTTTTTATTTTGGTGTAAAGGAGGGTATATTGAATAGATAATTAACCTAGAAACGTGAATACAATAAATTCAGTGCAGATGATGCTGTGTAATAGTACTCGTGGATTTTTATAATAGTGACATGTGGCAAAGGAGTGTCACCAGCGGCCATAATGCAACCTATTCGAATCATTGTAATTGGGAAAGAGTTTGAATGTTTTAGTATCGCCGATAAATAAAAAAAATAGGCAATTATCATATCTTGACAGTTTTTGGAGGGGGCTGGTATATTTCAGAAGAAAAACACGTCGCCAGTTAATCGACTTTACATACTCATTTTTCTGAAACAGTGCCATGGCCAACACAGTACATTCTCGTGAAAGTTGGAGTCAACTGTGTTGTCCGGCAGTATGTCATGAGTAGATCGGGTGCAGTGCTGTCAAATAGGCCAGCAAACTGTACATATATACAAATGTGCACGGGTTACGGCACAGATTTGAGTAACACCACGTACCGATCGGCGCATCTACAAAATCACGGTTTGCCGACCACACTCACAAAGATTCGTTGATTGTGTGGATCTACACGATATATCGGTCGAACCCCCTAAATTTTGGAAGTGAATAGATTTATGATCGTAGATTAGACATAATAAAAGAAACAGTATTAATTAAAATAATTACCATCGTTTAAATCACTTGACTCAGTGAGGTAACTATCAGACTCAGCTG